TAGTAAATAGTGAGGAGGACTGTAACCAACTGCAGGCAGACATACACAGAATGGTGGAATGGGCTGACATGTGGCAGATGGATTTCAATGTGGATAAGTGTGAGGTGATACACTTAGGTAGGAAGAATGATAGGAGGCAATATAGACTTGGAGCTCAATCTTAAGGGGGTGAACGTACAGAGAGATCTGGGCGTTCAAGTAAGCGAATCATTAAAGGTAGCAGAGCAGGTAGATAGGGCAGTAAAAAAGGCATTTGGTGTACTGAGCTTTATTAGTAGGGCACAGAGTATAAGAGTAGGGGTTATGGTTAATCTGTACAAAACACTGGTTAGGCCTCAGCTGGAGTACTGCGTCCAGTTCTGGGCACCTTACCTCAGGAAGGACATTAAGGCACTGGAAAGGGTACAGAGGAGATTCACGAGAATGATACCAGGAATGGGGAACCTTAGCTATGAGGACAGTGGAGAAGTTAGGACTTTTCCCATTAGAGCAGAGAAGGTTACGCGGGGACCTGATAGAGGTCTTCAAGATCATGAAAGGTTTCGACAGGCGAGATAGGGAAAGCTGTTTCCGCTGGTAGGTGTGTCTGTGACCCGCGGTCACAGTCTGAAGATATCACCAAAAGAAGCAGAGGGGAGGTTAGAAGAAATGTTTTCACTCAGCTAGTTGTTGGGATTTGGAATGATCGCCCGAAAGGGCAGTGAAGTCCGATTCCATAACAGCTTTTAAGAGAGAACTGGACAGGTATCGGGGAAGACGGGTTTGGGGGGTTATGGGGAGAAAGCTGGTGATTGGGGTCAGTGAAAGTGACACTCTGTCAAAGAGCCGCACAGACTCAATGGGCCGAATGGCCTCCTGTGCCGTAACATTCTATGGATCTATGAAAAGTGCAAAGTCATCCACCTTGTTATGTTATGGGACATCGAGGGAGTAAAAGGGAAGTATCTGAAGGCCTTGTAGCAGAGTTATATTTTTACAAAGGATTTGGAAACAATGAGGGAGCAAGGCAGCCAATTTGTACACAGAAATCACCTGCAAAAAGTCATAATAACAATAATAATCCTTGCACCTTATCATGTCGTCAAGACGTTTCAAGGTATTTCACAGGATTTATTGTCAAGTGCAGTGACTATGTATTTGTAGGCAAACACAGCAGTCAATTTGCACACAGCAACATCCCACAAACAGTCACAAAGTAAATGGACTAACTTTATCTGGAGGATTATAGGCCAGGACACCAGGAGAAACATGTCTCTCTTTTGCACAGGACATTTAATGTCCACCTGAACAGAGTCAGTATTTAAGTTTAATGTCTCAACTGAAGGATGACGTCTCTGACAATGCAGCGCTTTTCCCTTCACTGGAGTCAGCCAAGACTGTGAGCTCAGAGTCCCAACATGGGGTTTGAAACCACAACCTACTGACCTAGAAGCGAGAGCTTGACTGACTGAGCTCCACTGAAACCATCATATCATGGATATTTTCAGAATTACTTGAAGAGTTGTTCACTTCAGAACTATCGGTGGAATCTTCTTGCATAGGCTAATTCGCTGCATTTGCCTACAAATGTACAGGCACTTGACATCAATTTCCTGTGAAGCATTTTGAGATGTTTCAACTTAATAGGCACTATATTCAATTTGAGGATTATCAATTATAATTATTAAATATCATAAGGGTGGTTGTGGCAGAGACAATTGTGCAGGGATGTAATTGAACAGAGTGGAAACATTTTGTGGTTTCTCCCTTGGGTGTGCAGATGGCTAAACAAACAGAGTGCTCTTAGTCAGCCTGAGATCAGATGATTCCTCATGATTCCTGAGCGCAAACCTGATATGCTCAGCCCCCGTCTCAGATCGGTGGCCGTGCTTTCAGCCACATGTCCTGAGAGTATGGAACTCTCTTCTCCAATCCTTTCTTCCCTGCCTTCAGACCTTCCTCTTTGATCTACTATGGTCCTTATCCCCAGCTTGGTGTCACGCCACTGCAGACTCTGTGTGAAAGGATTAACAGAGGCCATTAACAGTGTTGTTGTTGTTGTCACCTTTCCCTTTCCCCTCTCGCTTGTTCCGCATTCAACCTTGTCCCTTTTAAGTGCTCCAAGTTATTACCGTGTTTTGAGACATCTCAAAGACGTGATGAAGCACTATATCAAATGCAAGTATTATTATTATTACCCTAAGTGAAAGGGGCTGTTTGTGGTATATTGCTGTGGACCATTGGCTACCGCATTTCACCCACAAAATACACAGTAATTCCACTTTACAATATATTCGGTGAAGCACTTTGGGACCATAGTAGATCAAAGAGGAAGGTCTGAAGGCAGGGAAGAAAGGATTAGGGAAGAGAGTTCCATAAGGCACCATATCAAATGCAAGGATTATTATTTATTGTGAACTCCTGTAGTTTAGTGGTTACAGCATTCGCCTCGCAAGCGAGAGGACCTGGGTTCGATTCCCGGACTTGGGTTTGAAATGTTAGGCAAATTTCCTACCCCAAAATATATTCAATTCATTTTACAGTATATTCTGTAAAGCACTTTGAAACGACTCGAAGACGTGATAAGGCAGTATATCAATGCAAGGATTATTTTTATTACTCCACACTCCTCTGTTTACCTAGCAGGCACCCTGTTGGTTGACAGATCGCTTTTCCAGGGTAATAAACCTTTTTAAAAAAGTAATAATTTGGTCAACAACCACAGCTTGCACTTACATAGCACCCTCCATGCCGGGCGGTGTCTCAGAGCTTAGCAAATGGTGGAGCCCGAGGCCGAGCCAGGGGGAGGGGGAAGGTGATCATAATCGCGGTTGAAAAGGTCTTCAGGCGCGACCTGAAGATGGGGAAGAGAGCGAGGCGAAGGAGTTGTGGGAGGGAGTTCCAAAGTTTCGGGGCATAGTGGCTGAAGGCGCAGCCTCCGAGGGTAGAGCAGAGGATTTGAGGGACACGGAAGAGGCCGGACCCAGTAGAGTGGAGGCAGTGGGTACTGCTATGGGGAGAGAGGAGGGAAGAGAGATGGGGGGGGAACGGCAAGGAATGGAGGGAGTTAAATACTAGAGTGAGGACCTTGAAGTCGATCCGCTCTGTGACAGGAGCCAGTGGTGTTTGGCAAAGAGTTTGGTCACTCAATCCATGACTGCTTGTGGGACACTGCTGTGCGCAGTTGGCTGCCTTGGGATGTCCTCCTGACATGAAAGGCACTCTATAAATGTAATTTTGTTGTTGTTGTTGCCACATTTCGCCCACAAAAATATAGTCAATTCACTTTACAATTTATTCTGTGAAGTGCTTTGAGACGTCTCAAAGATGTGAAAGGCATTATATCAAATACAAGGGTTATTATTATATACAGTAAATAATAATAATAATCCTTGTATTTGATATAGCGCTTTTCACGTCTTCTAGACGTCTCGAAGTGCTTCACAGAATAGACTGTAAAATGAATTAACTGCATATTTTGTGGGCGAAACGCGGCACCAATTGTGCACAGCAGCGTCCCACAAACAGTCGTGGATTGAAGTGACCAATTTATTATTTTGAGGGATTATTATCAGGCGTGTGAAGTAAGGAAATTTGCCCAAGGTTTCACCCTGCCGGGAATCGAACCCAGGTCTCTCGCTTGCAAAGCGAGTGCTCTAACCGCTAACTACAGGACTCCACAATAGGGAGAAACTATGTCTACTGCTCGATGGGTCGGTAGGGCTTGGATTTAAGGTCATCAGAGAATTGCTGGGATATGGAACATCCAAAAAACTCTGCCTGAAGCTGTATCTATAACAAGATTTTAAGGGAAATTGGACAAATATATGAAAGGATGGGGGAGTGGGGGGGGGAGATGGTAAATGGGGGAGATGGGGAATAGGGGAGATGGGGAGGATGGGGGTAGAGGATGGGGCAGAGGGGGGCCGAAGGGGGAGTGGAGAGGATGGAGAGTGTGGGGGAGATGGGGAGTGGGTGTGGGGAGGACAGGGGAGTTGACTGTTTGTGGGACTTTACCTTGTGCAAATTAGCTGCTATGTTTGCCAACAAATACAGTCACTCCACTCTACGGCAGTTCCTCAAGATGTTTCAAAACTATTGGAACTATATTGAATGCCATAATTATTTTTATTAATTGAACTGTTTGAGAAAGACACGACAGACCACATGACATCCTTCTTTTTGTGAAATTCAATGCCTCTACAGTAAGGAAACATGTAACCAGCTCCTGAACTGAAGCAGGGGGTGGGGGCAAAGCAGGAGGAGGTAAACAGACAAGAGGAATCTTAAAGGAGCTGTCTCTTGATGCTATGTGGCAAATGTGATGTGTTGCTGGGGTTGGGAGGGAAAGAGAAAGGGGGCCAAGCAGTATGTCAATCCCATGGGAAGCCACAGTAAAATGCCACTCTGTTGTGTTTCCATTTCAATTCCTGTGTATTTTGTGAAAAGCAAGAGGCAGAATGGAGAAAAAATTGTCTTTGCCAGGTCTGTAAAGACTGGTTTGGGCGCAGTGTCCCTTTAAAAAATTGTGAAACAGACCACAGCTGCAATGAATATGGAAACTGGCTTAACCTAACCCCAACAATCTCAAATGAAGGAAACTTCCCAAATGTGTGGTTGGGGGATTCTGCCCAGAGCAGGGCTAGTGGATTCCATTGGCTTTCCCATTGTGTGGTAGCCCCACCTCTGAGCATCTCACCTCTTTATTCATGGGACTTAATCCCTCTGCTTTAAGTGTGATTACACTTCAAGCCATCAATGCAAATGCTGATTGTCTTCGCCTAAAACAACGTGGAGGAGGAGGGCTGTCTGTTAGCTCGGCTCCTCCAAGCCCTGGGTTGTGCCTCAGCATGAGTTGGGAGGTGGCTCAATTTGGACCCCTCCTGACCATGCCTTCCCCAGGGAGGAGCGACCTTCAACTTCCTGGCCAAGACTGGGCCCCTGGGGCTGGATTTCACCCACTACACGACACCCTCTCTTTGCCGTGCCTGGGTTGGGTGAGTGCAGAGACCTCTGTTGGGATGGAAGTGGAGGGCAGACTGCCAGCCTGCAATGACCCCCCGAGACCACCCTGTGAGGATCGGGAAGAGCATATTGTCGGCATAAGGGAGGCCAGGCAGGAGAAGCGGACTTTGAAGAGGAAGAATTATCAGAGATACCCCAAGCCGCCCTACACCTACTTGGCTCTGATTGCCATGGCCATTCTCAACTCTCCAGAGAAGCGTCTCAAGCTGTCTCAGGTAGGGTAAGCCCTCTGTGATCACGGGCTGGGGCACAGGGCACTGTGCTTAGACACTGCTTCGGGAGAGCATTGCCGCTGACCTGTGAGTGTGCATTTGTTCCCAAAGTCATGAATTGTTTGTTAAATTGTTTTCCATTCCCCCCACCATACCTTATTGTATGGGGAGGGAGAAGCCTGTGCAGGTCAGAAGGTCAGAAGTTCAAGCCCTGTTGGTGACTCTGAGCCCACAGTCCAGACCGACTACTCCACTGAGGGAGCGTTGTGTTATCGGGAGGTGCTGTCCTTTGGATGAGATGTTATGATCCGGGTCCTGTCTGCCTGTTTGCAGGCAGATGTTTAAAAATCTCGCAACACTATTTGGGGGGAAAGAAAGGGAAGGAAATTTCTCCCATTGTCCTTACCAACAATTCCCAGGATTAAACAGTCATTGATTTGTGGTTATTTGCAGAATCTTGCTGTGCACAAAATAGCTGCTGCATTTGCCTATTTATTTAAAACAACTGTCCCTATACGGGTGGTAATTACTTGTGAAGTGATTTAAGACCACAAAATATAGTCCATTCGCAGTATATTCTGTGAAGCGCTTTGAGACGTCTTGTAAACGTGATAAGATGCTACATCAAATGCAAGGTTTATTACTATTTATTATTATATGATGTGAAGAGATGTGATTTATTATTTATATGATGTGAAGAGACGTGATTTGTATGAAAGTCTTTCCTCCGTGAAGCAAATGGCCTGTCAGGGCCCTGGTAATACAATGATGCACAGCCATTTGTTATGAGTGAGATAAATAAATGTAACTAAATTACAATCCCTGCATTTGATACAGCGCCTTTCATGTCGGGAGGACATCTCAAAGCACTTCATGGTTATACTGTGTGTTGTGCACGAACTCAGCAGTCAATTTGTGCACAGCAATGTCCCACAAACAGCCATGAAATGAAAGACCAATTTTATATGGGGGATTGTCTGTCAGGGCATTGGGAGAAACTTCCTTGTGGGGGTGGAATGGCTGACTTGGAATCGTAACCTGGGGTCCTTGTGTGTTCACAGATCCTCCACGATATCAGTGTCATGTTCCCGTTTTTCAAAGGGCATTACAAGGGCTGGAAAGACTCTGTCAGACACAATCTGTCTCTGAACAACTGTTTCATAAAAGTAAGTCTCGTGTTTGTACGTTCACGCTGTGCTCTGCCCAGTGGCTTTGCAGTGCTGCCTTTCCCTCTGGCTCCTGTGTCAGCCGGGCTCCATCACCAGCGCTCTTGTCACTGGGTCTGTAAGGTGGTGGGCTCGAGCCCCACATCAGGCACCACCCACCCCACCCCTCAGAACTCTCCCATAATCCCTTCCATTGCCTTGCGTCTTCTCTCTCCCTACTTTCACCCTGTGAAATGGAGGGTAAGTGAAAAGGGCTGTGAAGCAAATTGCTGTCCTACATCCTGATCTAAATTCACCAAAACATGGACTTTTCCAGAGCCAGAATACGGCACTGTTCACTATTGTGAGGCAAGTTAGTTTAACCCTACTGATGATGTGTTGTTTACTTTTTGATTTATTATTTCAGAGTGTTCAAAATATGGCAGCCTCAACATTGAAGCTGTTCTGTAGTTCTTAAAAGAAAACTTATTTAAGAATTTACGTAAATAGATTAAACCTAGACCTGGTGGTTTCTACCTCCTGGTTACAGCCTGACATTGATGAGCTAAGGCAGCGTGGACAGTAATAACAATCCATACATTTGTTATATATAGCATCTTTCAAGTGGACATCTCAAAGAGCTTCACAGGACACATAAAAAATCGGAGAAGGCCATTCAGCCCCTCGAGCCTGCCCCGCCATTTAATAAGATCACGCCTGATCTTCTAACCTAATTCCATTAACCCGCCCTATCCCCATATCCCTTAATCCCTTTAGTTTAAAAAAATTCTATCGATCTCATTCTTGATGCACTGTAAAATGGATTGATAGTTTTTTAGGTCTGGGAGAGAAAGGAAGTGGGTGGAGAATGAAGAGCCTTATGGGGGGGGAGGAGAGGAGGTAGGAGGCAGGAATGAATTGCGTGTTAACTGAAGTCCAGCACAAAATGCCAGATCTTGTGTTTTGACGCAGTTCCAGGAATTACGGAGATTACCGGAAAAATTGCTTTCATGTGTCTGTCTGTGCTAACCCAAAACAGGCAAAGAGATATATAAGAGCAGGTGATATTCAACAACAACAATAAAATTACATTTATATAGCGCCTTTCAAGTCGTGAGGACGTCCCAAGGTGCTGGGCAAATTATGTTATGGACCTGAGCTGAGGGTGGAGGAGGGGGGAGGGCAGGGGGTGGAAGCAGGGAGATTGAAAGCATGGCCGAAGAGGGTCTTGAAGGTGGCGAGGGAGGAGGTGAGATGGAAGGACTGCGGGATGGAGTTCTAGAAGGTGGCGCAGAATGGCGGAAGGCCTGACCACCAACAGTGGGGTGAGCAAGGTGGGTGGATGTGAAGCAGGCCAGAGCCCGCTGAGAGGAGGGAGCAAACAGGATGGTAAGGGGTTAGGAGGTCGCAGAGGTAGTGGGGAGCGAGGCCATGGAGGGCTTTGAAGGTGAGGACCAGGATCTAGAACTGTATCCCTTGTGTGATGGGAAGCCAGTGGAGTCGGGCGAGGATGGGGGTGATAGGGTCACGGAGCCGGTGCGGGAGAGGACACGGGCTGCAGAGTTCTGGATGATCTGCAGTTTGTGGAGGGAGAAGTTGGGGGCCGACAAGCAATGAGTTTGCGTAGTTGAACCTCAATGTAATGAAGGCGTGTGTGAGGGTTTTGGCGGCCTGCGGTGTGAGAGAGTGTCGTGGGGGAAGGAAGAGCGGGTCATGGCGCGAATGTGGGGTAGAAAGGACAGCTGAGGGTCAAGCAAGACCCCAAGGTTCGGGACTGGCTCAGTGAGGGGGAGTGAGCCCCAGGGATGGTAATGCTGTCAGCGCCTGAGGTGAGGAGGCGCTGACGGGAGCCAATCAGGAGCCTCGGTCTTGTTGACGTTCACTCTCATCCAGGACTTGATGTCTGACAGACATTCTGTCAGGACAGCAGTGGGTCCTGGAGTGGGTGGAGGCAGAGAGAGAGAGTTGGGTGTCATCCGCATACATGTGGAAGTTGACCCCATGTCTGCGGATGATGTCACCAAGAGGGAGCATATAGATGTTCATTCTTGAGTTGAACTTCACTTCCCAGCCCAGGAACAAGAAAACCATTTTAGATTCATAGATTCATAGAATGTTACGGCACTGAAGGAGGCCATTCGGCCGATCGAGTCTGTGCGGCTCTTTGACAGAGCGTCACTTTCTCTGACCCCAATCACCAGCTTTCTCCCCATAACCCCACAAACCCGTCTTCCCCGATACCTGTCCAGTTCTCTCTTAAAAGCTGTTATTGAATCGGACTTCACTGCCCTTTCGGGCGGATCATTCCAAATCCCAACAACTCGCTGAGTGAAAACATTTCTTCTAACCTCCCCTCTGCTTCTTTTGGTAGATATCTTCGTGGTCACAGACACACCTACCAGAGGAAACAGCTTTTCCTTATCTCGCCTGTCGAAACCTTTCATGATCCTGAAAACCTCTATCAGGTCCCCGCGTAACCTTCTCTGCTCTAATGAGAAAAGTCCTAACTTCTCCACTGTCCTCATAGCTAAGGTTCCCCATTCCTGGTATCATTCTGGTGAATCTCCTCTGCACCCTTTCCAGTGCCTTAATGTCCTTCCTGAGGTAATGTGCCCAGAACTGGACGCAGTACTCCAGCTGAGGCCTAACCAGTGTTTTGTACAGATTAACCATAACCCCTACTCTTATACTCTATGCCCCGACTAATAAAGCTATTTGTTGTCTGTCATTGTGGTGTTCCGTTGCAATAACAGGCTAACCTGACATTCCCGGCAGAGCTAGGGGAGCACTGCATTCTTAGTGTCTCTTTGAGAATTTTCTAAGTGATAAGGTGCTGGAAAGAAAATCAGTTCCTTCTCTGTAGCTGAAGATCAGCAATTGCATGGCAGACTGAACATCCGTCCCGGTCCCCTCCCCACTTGCAGCACAGTTTCACACTGGCCACTGCCATCAGTAGCTTGAGCCTGATTTAGCTTCTAACTCTCTCCCTCTCTCTGGAATTCCTGCCAATGGGGCCATTTTACCTTGTTCACCTACAAAATACCTTTAAGCGCTCTGAGACACTACCCTGCGGGGAGAGTGCTATATAAGTGCTTGTTGTTGTTAGTTTTAACCTACTAATACAATACAAAATTGCATTTGAAAAGCACCTTTCACATCGGGAGGACGATCCAAGGTGCTGGGCAGTCAGGGATTCTGACCTGATCGGGGGAGGAAGAGGGGGCTTTGGATCACAGAGGGTGGGATCAGGGAGAATGCAGGGCAGCCGAAGGCACAGTCAAGGAGGGTGATCTTGAAGGAGGCGAAGGGAATGTGGGATGGAGTTCCAAAGGATGGAGGCAGAGAGTCGAGGCCTGACCGCTGATGGTGGGGTAGGCCAGAGCCTGCTGAGCGGAGGGTCCAGACAGGTTGGCACTGATGATGTGTTGTTGCAATAGTAATCCTAGCAGCAGCAGCCAGGGCTCCTACTCCAAACACCTCACACCCTAACAGAAGTTAGTCGTCAACAGTCATTATCTTAAAATTTAAGATTGTGAAGAATTTAGGGAAATTCTTAAAATTTGGCTTTGATTTGGATGACTGTTTTCCTGCAGTTCTTCAAGGAATCAGCTTCCAAATTAAAACCAGATCTGAGTGGTGTCTTTTCCAGTCCACCCCCTCACAATTGTACTCAATCTTTTTCGATTGGCTTTGGTGAAATTGGCGAAATGCGTTTCGCAGGCTAAGACTGGGTGGAATTTGAGGACCTCAGAGCTGCTGCTGTTGCCTCTACATCTTGGTGTGAAACAGTTACTGTGAGCATCCGTCAAACAGCCAGTGTGTTGTCAGTGAGATTACCAAATCTGTTACTGACGTGTCAATCTTGAGCTGTGAAACTTTCAAACCTTTACTCTTCTCCCCGCCCCACCCTCCCCAATGACCCGTTGACCCTAGTATGTAAAGTCACAGCCCTAGGCCAGTTCACACATTTGTGGAGGGGGTCGGGGGAGGAAATCATTTGAAGCTCCAAGTCTTGGTGAGGGGGAGGGCACTGTATGATAACCAGAAGGGCGCCACATTGCTGACTCTATTTTTAGTTAGCTGGGTTTCTGACTCATGTGCTTATGAGGCTCCAAGTTACTGGGAGTTCCTCAATGTACTGTTTCTGTTTATCTGGTATGACCGTGTGCATTCCCTGTCTCAAAATCTCTGCCCTCCCACCATCTCCTGAAGGGATGCACCCTCTTCACCTAATTCTCGATTGTATTTGGTGCAAGTTATTGAAAGCCAAGACTTAGAGATCCCAGAGTTTATGCTTTGAGGTAACTGCTGGAGTTTACTGATAAAATAGATAACTTGATCATTCACTTCACTGCTGTTTGTGGGACGTTACTGTGTAAAAATTGGCTGTCCTGTTCACCTACAAAATACTATACTTTACAGTAAATCCTATGGAGCATCTCACAGGATTTGATAAGGTGCTGTACATATCAAATGCAGATTATTATTTTTATAGTTTGTCATTCCGAACGCTATCTGGCAAGCTGCCTGCTGCTTGACTTGCTCGGACCACCCTATCCACTGGTACTTTGGCTTGTGAGGTTACCCATCCATCCCTTCCATACCCATCCCTTCAAAAATAAATTTTAAAAGATAATAATTTGATCCATTTAATCCATGATTGTTTGTGGGACACTGCCGTGCACAATTAGCTGCATTCACCCACAAAATAGTCAATTCACTTTACAATATATTCTGTAAAGCACTTTTGAGATGTCTCAATGTGATAATGTGCTATATCAAATGCAAGGATTATTTATTATTACTGTTCTTGAAAGAGTGCAGAGATGCAAATAGGCCCTCATCCCAACCCATCGTGTGTGTGTGTATCTTTCTCTCTCTCTCTCTCATCCTCTGCCCCCTTTTTCCTTTCCCTCCTTCACAGTACAGGCTGACACACTCCCGTGTAGTGCTATGGGTTACTGGAGATACCACCTTCGGATGAGACATTTAAACTGAGGTCCTCCCTGCCTATTCAGGTCAACATTAAAGTTTTAGAAAATAATTTTAATAGGAGTGTTTCACAGAATATACTGTAAAGTGAATTGACTATATTTTGTGAGCGAAACGCGGCAGCCAATTGCGCACAGTAGTGCCCAACAAACAGTTGTAGATTGAGTGACCAATTTATTATTGTTTTTTTTGAAGGAATTATTACAGCTGGAAAAGCGATCTGCCAATCGACTAACAGGGTTCCTACTTACTGCTAGGTAAACAGAAGCGCGTGGAGTAAGAAAACTTGCCTTTCAAACATTTCGCCCCGCCAGAATTCAAACTTAGATCTCTCGCTTGCGAGCACTCTAACCACTAAGCTACAGGTCATTCACTTCATTACTGTTTGTGGGACAGTGCGGTGGTTGCTGCCCTTCACCTTCAAAATAACCACAAAATTACATTTGTATAACGCCTTTCACATCGGAAGGACGTCCCAAGGAACTCGACAGTCAGTGACTTTCAGGAACTCCCTCAATTCCTCCGCCATGGACCCTCTTCAGATCGTACCTCTTTGCCCATGCTTTCAGGCACCTCCCCTTTCTGGCTTGGTAACAAACTACACCACTGTTGAGCCTCCGAAGATGCTACCCTGAATGAAGGGTGCTATATAAATGTAATTTGTTGTCCTCGTTAAAGTTGCAAGACCTGACGGGCAGTGAGCTCCTAACCGGACAAGCAGTTTTCAATGGCAAACTATGGAAATTTATCTGATTAAAATTCCAACGCACACTTTGTTGGCTTTTGCCAGCCTGCACCTAATACTCTGGAATTAGGTAAACAGGGTGTGTTCCTCTGGAAAAAGGGAACATTCCAATCCACGTGTAGGTGGAATGCATCAAACTGCCTTTGGTTCGGAAACGCTTAACAATGGTGATGGGTTTCCCATTATTAATAGTCTCCCATCAAAACGGTATTAGACAACTGGCTGACCGAAAATGCAAAGATTATTGCAGATAAATTGGCCAACTAGAAAATGACTGTTGTATTCCTTGTTAAAGAAGTTGCTACACTTTGGTGGCTGTTACTGCAAAGGCACATTTAGGTGTTTGAATGTGATGCTGCAAAGTTGCAAGTTCGTTTTTTTTGTTGCCTTAGAATACACAGATCTCTGATGTGGGGGCAGTTCTAGGCGTGAAGTTGTCTCCAAACAATTGGATTTGTTTTAACAATTGTTGCAATGCAGAAATTCAAAAGTCCCCATTAGCACCTGCTCTATTGAGGATTTCTTGTTTACTGGAGGGGACCAGCTCAGGAGATCTGTTTGTGTGATGAGGAACTAATGGTTGGGGGGGGGAAGGGAGTGATCTTTTCACAGATCGTGGCACCTTTCATATCTTGGAGCAGCTTCAAATTGAAATGTTAAACATTTAAGTTGATTCTGGAGTCTCCAATTTTTAAAAATTGTTGCATTTGGTATAGTACTTTTTATGTCAAAATCTGAAGTGGCTTCACAGGATTTACTGTAAAATGTAGTGACTATTTTGTAGGTGAACCCAAATTTTGAAGGGGAGCAATTCACAGGTGTGCAGAGGCTGTGGCAGAGTAGTGTAAACCCAGAGGGAATAGTACAGGATTATTTTCCCAAATTTTATTTTTGGAAGTGGCTGGCTGGACCGTAATGATCCTGTATGTTCCAGTGTAACTCTGGAATCTGCTGTTCAGATTTGAAATGGTCACTGTGATTGGGTAGCAGTCGGGGGAGAAATGAGTCGCTTACTTTATTTTATCAAATTACTGTGAAGCTCTTTCTGATATGTCTTAAGGCACTGTAAAAATGCACATTCTTTCTTCCCATCACTTTCAGCACTCCACACAAAGTTTTAGGAACTTTCCCTCTGCCTCCCTCCCTGCAGTGAGTGGTGCTGAACTGGCCTCTGTGCCAATGATGGATTATCCTCTCTGGGGTTTCTCACTTTGTTATTCCTTAAGCTGTTCGTAACTTTCTCGCGTTGTTCTGATTGCCCTACGGACTCTGACCTGCAGTCAGCCTGGCTCAGTTGATCAGTCACTTTCTCCCCTTTAGGGCAGTGCTGGGACAAGGCCTCGTGCTCCTTGTTTTTTTGGTGAATCTGATTACTGTTGGAACCTTCTGAATCTGATCACCGTTGGAAGGTGTATTGGCCCCTCCTGGCCAGAAACCAATGTTGCCAGATTGGGAGGGTTTGCAAAGCATTTTGAGCTGTGAAGGTGCACTTTATCAAATGCTGTTATTATTATTAACTAGGTGGATCTTTGTTGTACTGCATGTGAAAATGGATGCGTGGGTGCCTAATTATTAAATTTTTAATTTAAATCTGCAAACTTTTTTCCCCTGATGACCTTTTCTCACAGTTTCAAAAGCACTGACCTCAATTGGCCACTTTGCTACCCATAAGAAGCAATAGATAATATTGTACAAGTATTTGGTTGACTTTGAGATATAAATGTATTTTGATTAATTTCTGACAACCCCAATAGTAACCAATTAATCCGATGGAGGCCTGAAATGCCACCTCGTCATTCTGTCTGTAAAATTCAACATTCCCTGACCTGGGGGTGGGGGATGAAGAGTGCAGCCAGTTTTGGGGCATCCTCCTGAGCTGAGAGGAGTGGAGGTGTAAAATCTTTATCTTGTGATATGGTTTTCCACGGTTCTGCGTTGCTCAAAAAAACGGAACAGGATGGAACTTTGAGCCTCAGCGTTGATCTCCGTGTTTATTCCCCATCTGTCTCGGGAGACGTGGACTCTCCCCATCCTTTGATTGAGATGTTAATCCAAGATCCCGTCTGCCTGTTCAGCGCAGACTTCAAAGATCCCATTGCACTATTCAAAAAGAAAAAGGAATTTCTCTCTCCCACGGTCTTGGCCAATAATGCCCCAGGTAAAATGAGTCACTCACTCCACGGCTGTTCAAAATACAGTCACTGCACTTTACCGTACTGCACTTTAACATACTGTACTCCTCGTCCTTGCTTTCAAAGCTCTCCACAGCCTTGTTCCTACCTGCGACCTGCTAACTCCAAATCAACCTGTCCGCTCCCTCCACTCAGCAGACTACAGCCTGCTCCACGTCCCCCACCGCACCATCAGCGATCGGGACCCTTGGCTTCCCTGCCCAAACCCTTTGGAACTCCATTAGACAGTCCCTTCACCTCACTCCCTCCCTTGTCTCCTTCAAGGCAAGTCTCAAGATACTCCTCTTCAATTGCGGCTTCGGCCAGGTTCCTACCCATACATTCCCTCCCTCCTGATCCCAACCCCCAGCTCGGGTCCAAATCCCAGACTGGCCGGCACTTTGGGACACCCTCTGACTTGAAAGGCGCTATTCACATGCAATTTGTTGTCCAGAATTGGTGAATTCAGCCTTAATTTTGACGGCAGATTTCTGTTCTTAGAAGAACTTACCCAAACCAGTTTAACAACTTGAGGCTGTATTTAAGAAGTGGCCAAATTCTGTGCCCCCGAAATGCAGTGTACAATAAATCTAAACCCGGGCGGCATTTCTCCCCGTGAATCGGTTGGGTGCAGTGCCCACGGCGATGGGTGGTTTAGTTTGGCGACTGAGATTGCCCATCGGGTCCTTGGCCCAGAAAGTAAGGCTGTCACCAGAGGTGAAAAGTGGGGCTAATGGTTATGTAGGACAGTGATGCCTGAAAGATGTTGTACAAATATACAGCAATTGGTTGTAGCTGTTGTATATCCTGTGAAGCGCTTTGAGACATCTCGACGACATAAGGCGCTATCTCAAGTGCGAGGATTACTATTATAACAACTAATATTATCATAAAAATTATAATGTTATAATACATAATGTATTATTGTAATTATATAACATTATCTCCCCCTTCCCCCCCCTCCCCCCCACAGGTGCTGAACGACCCCAAGAGACCGCAGGCCAAGGGCAACTACTGGACGGTGGACGTGAACCGCATCCCCCCCGAGGCCATGAAGCGGCAGAACACGGCCGTGTCCCGGCAGGACGGCACGGGCTTCGCGGCTGATTTGACGCTGTACTTGCAGGAGGCGGCGGCGGCGGGTGACGAGCAGCAGCAGGAGGAGGCGGCGGCCCCGGCGGCGGGTGAGGAACGGGACGAGGCGGCGGCGACGACCGCTGACGCCGTCGACGTCGAGGACCGTCTGGAAGGTTCCACGAGCGGCGTCGCGCGCGGCCTCGCGGCGCTGCGATTGGTCGCCAGGTCTCCCACGTGGTGCAGCACCGCGTGGCGCAGCCGCTCCTCCCGCTCGAGCGTCTCTTCGCTCGACGACGACGACGTCGCCGCCTCAGCGCCGGTCTCCCCCGCCAAGCGCCCGCGGCCATCCTCCCCGCCGCCCCCCGAGCGCCGCCCTCTGCCCTGGGAGCTGCCCACCTCCTACACTAAAACCGCGCCGCCCAACGCGGTGGCCCCCTCCGGTGCCGGGCTGCCCCTCTCGGGCCTGCTGAGCTGCGGGGCCCGGCCGCCGGGCCTGCTGCTGTACTCCCCGTTCCTCGGCGCCCCCTGCTGGCCGCTCGTGGCCGCCCGGCCTCCCTCACCGCTGAGGCTGCCCGTCGTGGCCCCCGCCACGGCCCTGGACCTGGAGCGGATGCTGCGGGCGGTGCCGCCCAACAAGAGCGTCTTCGACACCATCGTCCACCATCTGCTGCCCGCGGAGGCCGTCCTACAGGGCGGCCCCGTGCGGTACCCCGTCTTCCCTTTCCATTACTAGGCGTCAAAGGTAGGCCGACCATGGGGGGGTGTGGGGGGGAGGGGGAGTGTGTGTAGGGGGAGTGTGTGGGGAGGGGGAGTGTGTGTAGGGGGGAGTGTGTGGGGGGGGAGTGTGGGTGTGTGGTGGGGGTGGGAGGGGGAGTGTGTGTGGGGAGGGAAGAGTGTGGGGGGAGGGAGGAGGGAGGTGTGGGGTGTGTGGGGGGGTGTGGGGGAGGGGAGTGTGTGTGTGTGGTGGGGGTGGGGGGTGTGTGGGGGAGGGAGGAGTGTGTGGGGAGGGGTGGGTGTGTGTGTGGGGAGAGGGGTGTGTGTGTGGGGGGGGGGGGGTGTGTGTGGGGAGGGGTGGGTGTGTGGGGTGGGATGGGTGTGTGGGGTGGGGTGTATGGCTTGACTTCATTCTCAAAGGTATAAAAGGTGGGCATCAAATGGAAGGTTTTGGTGGTTCAAGTCTTTTTAAAAAACATTTTGACGCTGTGTGGTGCACTTCAGATTTAATATCTATTATCTGTTATCAAACCAATAATGTACACTTTAACAACTAATAATAATAATAATAATGCCAGCCAATTACTGTTTCCAGGCTTGGGGACCCCAGAGTGTGCGCGTAGGGGTAATTGCAGGAGTCTAACCAGCTAAATCTGTGCAGCTTGCCATTGCAAATCGTCTGTGATGATTTCCCATTGCTTATCCAGCTCGGATCACCTTGGAGCCAGTTCAGCTTCTTCTCCTCATTCCCCCTCCTTACCGCCAGCCCCAGGAGACTTTGACCTTATCTCTTGTTTATCTCTAACCCCCCCCCCAAACCCACCGTAACTGGCCAAACTTGCCTCAAACTCCAGTGGAGTGCACTGTTCCCCTGTGTGTTTTATAAAAATAATACTTTTGTATATGAACTCCAAGATGTGTATTTTTAATTGTTCGGGGCTGAAATCATTTTTATCAAGTTGGTGACTGGATTCTTTCCTGCTACCCTCGGAGTGGATACGGTGATAATATGTGGAGTGGTGTTTACACCAGTGGCTAATCTGTAGCAAACTGAGAGGGATGGTGATGAATTGCGATGTTTACGTGCCCAAATGTCCCCCCTCTCTGTTCAGATGTTAAACTGTGTCTGAATAAAAGTTAAGCTATTAACGTTTTGTTGTACTTGTTTTCTCCCTTAAGTGACGCGTTGTACAGCGAGTTACTTAATAATAATACTAATTGTAAAGAAGGGCTTTGGGGCGACATGGGGAAAATGTTCAGCCATCAATGTATTATGATGTAAAGTGGAATGACTGTTTTGTGGTCAAACAGTAGTTACTGTATTTGTAGACCAGTATTTGTAAGTGGAACTATACAGTCTTTTTAGTCAGCTGAGTGTGACATGTGTCTTGCCTAAGAGTCTCCAAGCCAGACGACTGAGCGTTCCACACATGAATGGAAATTTCCCTGTGTGTGGAATGAAATCTTCTCTCCCAAGAGGGACAACACTCTGTTCGCCTGATCCAGGAAAGTAATAGTAATAAGTATAGGTTAGAGAGTGCCACAGTTTAGAGAACCCCAGAGTGTGCACTGGGGGGAAGGGGGTAACTGGGAGTTTAACCAGCTAAAACCACATCACTTGACATTGAGCACTGCAAGCTTCTTGTTGCTTGTCCAGCAGGGAGTACCCTACCCATCAGTTAGGACTTTAGCTTGTGGAGTTTTAGCTTATTCCTGGGGTGGACCCATTCATATGACAATGGGTCCCCACAGTGGGAGCTGGAGCCGGCTGATGGTATTTCGCCCTCTCTCTTGTCTTGACTTGATTCATCTGTGGATCAGTAAATTGCTACTATCTCACACGGGGAGAAACAAAAGACCTGATTCTCAGTGGATCTTCCCCTTCCACCCCGAACACTAAACACTCGCCAATCAGAAGGATGGAGCCTTCATTGTCTGATAAAATGACTGCGAATTGAGAGGCCAGAGTCTCAGTCAATTCACAATAGTTTCTTAATTGCTGGACAGACACCTCATCTTATCTGGCAGATAAGCTCCTCTTCAGCTGCTTTGATCTAATTGTCCATTGAATGCTACATTCATCTTTCATGTCTCTCGCGGTCTTCTTACACACTGTCTTACTGAAGTACGTAGATTATTTAAAGAGATTGATTAGGGTTGGGGGGGTAACGGACAGCCATCAGTTCATCGCCTCAAAATGTGATATCTCCTAATTATGAAAAAAATCTCCAACTCTTGTGTCTCAAAGTGCTTCTTCACAGGATATACTAAACTGGAGTTAACTTGCTTCTGTGTTTGTCTACAAATATACAGTCAATACACTTTACACTGAATATAATAATCCTTGCATTTGGTATACAACAAATTTTCCATTTCTATAGCACCTTTCACATCAGGAGGGTGTCTTAACGTGCTTGACAAAGATGGATAGGCACTTGAGTTGGAGTTGGGAACTGTGGTGGGGGAGGGAGAGATAGATGGACGTAACTTGGTCAAAGAGGTAGGTTTTGAGAGGTATCTTGAATGAGATGAAGGAAGGAGATTCATGATGTGCCAAAGTGCTTTCACAGGATTTTACTGATCTTACATGATCTTATCAAATGGCGGGGCAGGCTTGAGGGGCCAAATGGCCTACTCCTGCTTCTAATTCTTATGTTCTTATGCTGTGACAGTTATTACAAGCAACTCTGTATAGTGTGAAGTGCTATGAGACACCCTCCTGACTTGAAACGCACTGCATCAAATGTAAGATTATTATTTGCATTCTAACTATTTTCAGCAGGTGATAGAAGCAACCACCATCCCTGTCCCCACCGATTGCTTTCTCTCGCTCTCTACCACCCAGCCGCTGCACAAGTTCCCAATATCTTAACCCTCCCCCACTTAAAACCCAGAGTTAGCACCTTAAGACCATCTCCTATTGTTAAGTACAGACTGTGGCCCTCCTCTTCAACCGCAAGTTCAGGGCAACAGGTTTGCACTTGAACGCAGGCAATTGACAGACAGGATGTCTATCTAGTGACAAGTGGTAGCTTTTTTGACTTTCCTGAGCTCGATATTTTAGGAGGAAACTGGAGACTGAAGAAAGTGCTTCTCTCTTGTCATGGTAAAACAAAGTTCCTCCTGTCTCAAGGGGACCTGCAGACAGGTTTATGTCAAACCAGGGGGAAATGGTCCTTCGAATGAGCAATTAAAGCAACAACAACAAAATTACATTTGTATAGCGCCTTTCATGTTGGGAGGACGTCCCAAGGCCCTGGACAGATAAGAGTTACAGACCCTAGCTGGGGGTGGGGGACGGCAGGGGGCAAAGCAGGGAGATCGAAAGCACAGTTGAAGAGGAGGGTCTTAAAAGTGGCGAGGGAAGGGGTGGGACTGCGGGATGGAGTTCCAGAGGGTGGGTGCAGAGATGTGGAAGGCCCGGCCACCAATAGTGGGGTGAGCAAGGCTGGGGACGTGAAGCATACCGGAGTTCCCTGAGCGGAGGAAGTGAACAGGATGGTAGAGGGTTAGGAGGTTGGAGAGGTAGGGGGGAGCAAAGGTCCCGTCCGCCTGTTCAAGTGGACGTCAAACATCCTGTGGCACTGTTTGAAAAGGGAAGGGAGTTTCTCCTAGTGTCCTAGCCAACAATTCTCCACATAAAATTTGTCATTTCCTTCCCATTTGTTTGTGGGACATTGCTGTGTGTAAATCGGTTTCTATGTTTGCCTGCAAAATACACAATCACTACACATTACAATAATTCCCCATGGAGCGCTTTGAAATGTTTCAATGTTATAGGTGATGTACAAAATACATGTATAATTATTACTTTGTATTGAATTCAAGATGATCATTCTCACGTTCAAAGCCCTCCAGCCGCTCTTTATCCTACCTCGGAGATCACCGACAATCCCTACCAATCCGGCTCCTCCTTTCGCTTAGCGAACGTTGGCCTGCTACATGTCCCCTGGAATGGGATTTCAGCCATTCTGCCCATGTTCTCTGGAACTCCATCCCAGAGTGCCTCCAATAATAATAATAATCTTTGCATTTGATATAGCGCTTTTCACATCTTCTCGACTTCTCAAAGCGCTTCACAGAATATACTGTAAAGTGAATTGACTGTATATTTGTGTGCAAAACACAGCAGCCAATTGCGCACAGGAGTGTCCCATAAACAGTCGTGGATTGAAAATGACCAATTATTGTTTTGGAGGAATTATTATTAGACTCTGTGTGGAGTAAGGAAACTTGCCCAAGGTTTCACTCTGCCTGGAATTGAACCCAGGTGTCTCGCTTGCAAGGCGAGTGCTCTGACCACTGATCTACAGGACTCCAACTTTCCTTCCTCTCCTCCCCTTCGCACCCCTGTCACTTCAATCCTCACCAGGTTTATCTGTCTCCCAGTTTCTGCAAAAAGATTAGTTTCAACATCCTCACATACAAATCCCTTTACACCCTAGCACCTCACTACCTCTGTGACATGCTTGTACCCCATTCCTCTGCCCTATCCCTTCGCTCAGCTAACTCGACATGCCTTGCGTGTGGGGCACTATATAAATACAAGTTGTTCATAGCCCACCTCAAGACTTGCCTCTTTGACCACACTTTGTCAACTTTCCATCCCCCATGTTCTTCAGGTTCCCCCACTTGGCTTGGGTGCTTTGAGATCCCCCCCTCCACACCAACAACGTGAAAGGTGATATGTTCTTTCACTTTTTATTAAGGAGCTGCTGCCCACAATTTAAAAGGCCTGCATTGCCACCTCCTGGACATAGTAGAACTTTTCATTCCCCTCTGGTTCTCTGTCGGTGCAAAGTAACCAATGGGCGGAATCCTATTCCTGTGTAACTCCAACTCGGAAACAGTTCCACAGGTGCTAGCAGCTTTTGCTTGGCCTATCAAAAATCCCTAGATTTTTAAAAACTAAAGGGATTAAGGGATTATGGGGATAGGGCGGGTTAATGGAATTAGGTTAGAAGATCAGCCATGATCTTATTAAATGGCGGGGCACAGGCTCGAGGGGTCGAATGGCCTACTCCTGCACCTATTTCTTAGGTTGTTATCAGACTAGCTCGGGCACCTCTGAGTGTGAAGATCAAGGGTTCAATCACTTCACCACTTTGAACTCAGAGTTCTGGATAATGCTTTGAAATTCATATCAATAACAGTAATTCTTGCATTTGATATAGCCCCTCATCATGTTGAGATGTCTCAAAGCGCTATGCAGAATACATTGTAAATTGAAGTAGGAAGGAGACATTAAATAGATTCATAACTACACAGAGAAAGACCAAATAATTTAGTAAAAACAAACCTCTAAACACCAAAGCTCTGGATAAATCCACACATACATATTAACAGTATAATACAATAGCTCTATCTGCCTGCAACAGACCAGCTTACTCCCTTGGCTTAGTTATGGGCAGGGCCAATAGAAAATTGAGGAAATATTTGCCAGAAATTGCGAGGGGATCAACAAATTATGCTGAAAATTACAGAGTTTTGATTGGTGCCTTTGAGAGGCATATTTTAAAGCCAAACTACATTTTTCAAAGCGTGTGATCAGTTGAGACAGCAGAGCACCTTTCATGTACTGCAAGACAAGACAGAAATGTTATCAAAGTGGAGTCCTTTTAGTGGA